GTGTGTGTGTGTGTGTGTGTGTGTGTGTGTGTGTGTGTGTGTGTGTGTGTAGGTAAACTCAAAGGCCCTCATGGTCTCTTTGTTGACAGATTACTGTCAGGTAAACATTGTTTCTTGATCCATCTTCCATCAACCTCCTCTGTGGTCCTCTTCTCCTCCCTGCCAGCTCCACATTCAACTTCCTTTGTCCAACATGTCCCTCCTGTGCATGTCCAACCATCTCAGTCTCACCTCAAAAACCTTTTTGTCTGTTTCTGTTTTTGTCTTCTTCTTCTCTTGACTGGTTCCTTTGGGGTCCACCACAGAGGACCATCTGCCTTCCACTGAAGATCTGAACATCTTCATCTTCACCTGTCTTCCAGTTGGAGCCACTGTCTCCAAACCAAACATCCCAGCAGGTCATAGATTCAACATGAAAAGCCTCCTCAACAACTCRTCTTCACCGTGTCCATCGACAGTCCTACAGTTTCCATCAGCACCTGTTGACCAACTGTACCACAGGTGGTGTTTATGTGGGTCCTGACTCATCAAACATGAAGACTCTTATTCTTAAAGATCCTCATGCTTGGCTGGACTAAAGTTATATCCCGGCTGCTCTTACTGACTGATCCTTCTCTTGTATTCAGGTTTTGGTTTGGCACTGAGAACCACAGAGTAACGTGAACACATCAGTACCAGACCATCTCAGGTTCTCTGGGTACATACAGAACAGATGGGTTCTGGTCCTAAAGACAACTCTGGAGATTTTAATCTTGATATAGATGGAGGCTCTTTCTACTCATCCTCCCACCCATCATCTTGGACTCCATGCTCCCCTTCAACTCACATATCAGATCCATCAGTAAACCTAACTTTTATTAACCTCAGGACTCTGATGYTGACTCCTCAATTGTCAGAAACCCTGATCTGTCTTCATAGCCTTTTGTTTGGACCACCAGTCCTCTCTGAGCCACCTTGTAAAGGTCTGGAAAGGCTTCAGTTTGTCCAAGACTCTGGTCTGTGGGTCCAAGACTCTGGTCTGTGGGTCTGACCAAATGGTGGCTACAAATTTATCCAACATTCAGTCAACTCTGGTTTCCAGAACCCCAGGTCTTCTGACATCTTGTCCCAGAACCTCAGGTCTTCTGACATCTTGTTCCAGAACCCCAGGTCTTCTGACATCTTGTTCCAGAACCCCAAGTCTTCTGACATCTTGTCCCAAAACCCCAGGTCTTCTGACATCTTGTCCCAAAACCCCAGGTCTTCTGACATCTTGTCCCAAAACCCCAGGTCTTCTGACATCTTGTCCCAGAACCCCAGGTCGTCTCATATCCTGTCCCAGAACCTCAGGTCTTCTGACGTCTTGTCCCACAATCCCAGGTCTTCTGATGTCTTGTCCAAGAACCCCAGGTCTTCTGACATCTTGTCCCAGAACCCCAGGTCTTCTGACGTCTTGTCCCAGAACCCCAGGTCTTCTGACGTCTTGTCCCAGAAACCCAGGTCTTCTGATGTCTTGTCCAAGAACCCCAGGTCTTCTGACATCTTGTCCTAGAACCCCAGGTCTTCTGACGTCTTGTCCCAGAACCCCAGGTCTTCTGATGTCTTGTCCAAGAACCCCAGGTCTTCTGACATCTTGTCCCAGAACCTGAGGGCCTGGTTCTGACCCTGGACTGGATCTGTAAACCTTGTGTTGAAGCCTCAGCTCTGTGGAACTCTGTTGTTTTTGTGGACGTTTTCATCTCTTAATTTATTAAAAACTTTAAATTAGTTTCTTAATGAAGTCAAACAACCTGATGAGTTTTTCTTCCTGATGAAAAGCAGAAGCTGCAGGTTAACAGGAAGAAGAAGAAGAAGAACTGACCCACGATGGAGAGGATGACCACCACGAAGTCGAAGATGTTCCAGCCCACGGTGAAGAAGTAGCAGCGCAGCGCCATGATCTTGATGATGCACTCGGTGGTGAAGACCACGATGAAGGCCAGGTTGATGTAGTAAAGGATCTTCTCCATGCGGGCCGACTGCTCGTCCGTCTCCACCATCATGGTGATCATGTTGAAGAGGATCAGAACCATGATGATGATGTCGAAGGCCTGCTTCCCAACCAGGTCGAAGAAGAAGCCCTGCAGAGGGTTCTGAGAGGAGAGGAGAGGAGAGAACTTTACCTCACAGCTTCAGGTAAATCTGGATTCAGTGCTTTTATTGTGAAAGGTTCTCCTGTGAGCTGATACCAGAGGTCTTGGGATGGGCTTCTGAGGTTTCTTGGAGCCCAGTTTCTTCATGGCGTTGTAATATTTCTTCTGTTCCTCTGTCATGAAGATGTCCTGTCCTCCTAAGTAAACAAACAAACAAACAAACAAACAAACAAACAAACAAACAAACAAACAACTCAGTTATTTTTACAGTATATCTGAAATTGATTTAACTAAATCAGTTTTAATAATAATAAATGTTTGAGATTTATTGTTTGTTGTGTTTCTTATCTTTCGTTTCTGTTGGTTGAAGTTGTCGATGATGACTCCGATGAAGAGGTTGAGGGTGAAGAAGGAGCCGAAGATGATGAAGATGACAAAGTACAGGTACATGTAGAGATTGATCTCTTTGATGGGCTGCTCCTCAACCTGCAGAAACAAAAATAAACTTTATTTTAACTTTAATTTCATTAGTGTCAAATAAACATTCTGTTTCTTCTTTTAAAGGGATCCCTGATTAGTTGTAACATTAGACTTTATTTGATAAACATATATTTTAACTGTAAAATAAAGACTGTAAAAATACTGTAGGATGTTCAGTTTTGTAAATTAAAAAAATATATAATTTAATCAGAATATGTTATTGATCTCTGGGGGGAAATTTCAGTTATTACAGCTGCAACTGTTCAAGTGAACATTAGAGATAAAATATAAAGGAAAAAATATTAGCGCACACGAACGGAGCCATTTTATTTCCACACAAAGCATTCTGGGTAAATGATGACGTGGATAGGTCCTCGGTGCGAGGCTGCTAGCGAGCTATATCCACCCTGAAGGTTAATCTTGGACAATATCTGATGATCGACTCTTTTAAATGAAACCAGAGAGCGTTGACAGATACAAGATTAACCTTCAGGGTGGATATAGCTCGCTAGCAGCCTCGCACCGAGGACCTATCCACGTCTTCATTTACCCAGAATGCTTTGTGTGCAAATAAAATGGCTCCGTCCGTGTTAAAATATATTTTTAATAATTTATAAAACTAAACATCCTACAGTATTTTTACAGTCTTTATTTTACAGTTAAAATAAATGTTTATCAAATAAAGTCTAACGTTACAACTATTCATGGGTCCCTTTAAATTATTTTCAGGAGACTCCTGATCTCTCCTGTCTAATAAAAAACATATTTCTTGAGTTTTATTGTGAAGAGATAAATTTAAACTAACTCACAGCTCTGGAGTCAACAGCTGCGTACATGATGTCCATCCAGCCTTTAAAGGTCGCCTGAAAACAACAAATATTTTTATTTTTAATGTGTGGAGATGAGTGTTTATGCGCAGGTTATGTAATATTTAGTTTTTACGTTTCCTCAGATGAACTCAGGCTGCAAAATGAAACAATAAAAATAGTTTTTTGTAAAACTGAGTGAGTAAAACAGGATCTAAATGTCATGTAAAACTTATCGGGTCTGTTTTCTGAACCATGCTCCTGATTCTGTTCTGTTTGGGTCAAGTGAGTTCCTCTGCATCCGTCCATCACCACTTTGCTTATTTCTTTCTGAGAAAAGGACTAAAATAAAAGAACCCTCCGGTTTTATCAGTAAATAAGTAAAAACAACAACATGTCTTTATAAGGACTTCCTTCCTGTTTGAAGGGTAGAAGAACAGGTAAAGAAAGCTGGCCTGTTGGCTGTAAACGGTGGAGTTCAAACCTAAAATCTAAAATAAATGTTTCATATTACTAAATAAATTTAATGGATTATTCAGAGAGTTTTTTAAATCAATGACTCAGATGAATAATGACGCTGACGTTAAGAGCTGCTCATTAAATCTGGCATTAAAAACAGGAGAAAAACTGAATTATTATTAAAATGATCTGTTATTACATAACTGACATTTTTAAATCACTGAACTGAGGTTTGATTTGAACATTTTTAACACCATGTTTGGACAAGAGCAGAAAAAAGAATAACTGTTCTGAAGAGATTGTAAAGGTTCTGATCCGACATCACAATGTGGAGGCAAAAGATTTGACTTTTTATCCTTTTTAATCAGGCGTTTACTGGAGCCACCTGTTGGTCTGCAGAGGTCCTGCACTTCCTGCTCTGGATTATAATTATAAACTTATTTAAAAAGAAGAAGCTCCTGTAAAACAGGAAGAGTCAAATTTCACACCTGAAGCTTTGATCCTTCAGCTGATTCACTGAGTACAACTGGTTAAATAAAAGATAATCCAGATTATGGTTTATGTAGATTACAAATTATAAATGACCACATCAGTCTAAATCTCAAAGCTCTCACAAAGAGAGAGGAGAGCCTCAAACTGTGCCACCAATAAAACTGCTTCTCTCTGTGCTGGCAACGTTTAGCTGCATGTTTCAGCTGTATCAGCTAACAGCTAACTGTATTAGCTAACAGCTAACTGTATCAGCTAACAGCTAACTGTATTAGCTAACAGCTAACTGTATCAGCTAACAGCTAACTGTATCAGCTAACAGCTAGCTGTATCAGCTAACAGCTAACTGTATCAGCTAACAGCTAGCTGTATTAGCTAACAGCTAACTGTATCAGCTAACAGCTAACTGTATCAGCTAGCTGTATTAGCTAACAGCTAACTGTCCATAGAGATGTAAAACGCTACCAGGACAAAAACCATTGACGTCTCAAAAACCGGCTGAACCTTCTGGGTTTTAAAAGCTGTTCATTGGTTTCAAACACCTCAGGAGTTTGATTCACCTGTCAGAGGGGAGGGGCTGTTTCCTCCAAAAGGAGGCGGGGCTTTACAGAGAGGCCTGGAGGTGTTGCTCCTCCACATTGATGCTATTTGTTCTGTTAATGAGCCTGAGGTGGAGCAGACTGTCAGGAAATCATTTCTTTAACCTGCAGACCTTCAGTTTAATAAGATGTATGATGAACTAATTAACTGCAGATTAACCAGCTGCTACAGTTTCTACTGACACTGGAAATAAATTAAAAAAATTAAACTTGGACATTGTTCTGCTGGGGGACTTCAACGCTCACGTGGGCAATGACAGTGAGACCTGGAGAGGCGTTGTTGGGAGGAACGGCCGCCCTGATCTGAACCCGAGCAGTGTTTTGTTATTGGACTTCTGTGCTTGTCATGGATTGTCCATAACAAACACCATGTTCAAYRATAAGGGTGTCCATATGTGGCTGCATGTCTTGGACACTCAGGTGAGGAGAAGGGCGGAGCTGTCAACTGACCACTACCTGGTGGTGAGTTGGCTCCGTTGGTGGGGGAGYATGCRGGTCAGACCTGGCAGACCCAAACGTATAGTGAGGGTCTGCTGGGAACGTCTGTCAGAGTCTCCCGTCAGACGGCGTTTCAACTCACACCTCCAGGAGAACTTTGAACATGTTCTAGGGGAGGTGGAGGACATTGAGTCTGAGTGGGCCATGTTCTGTGTCTCCATTATCGAGGTGGCTTACCTGAGCTGTGGCCGTAAGTTTGTCATATCGGGTCTTTTTGACCCATGGGASTCCGGAAGCAGCCGATAGGTATCGGCAGTCCAAGCGAATTGCGGCTCATGTGGTCAATGAGGCAAAAACCTCGGGCGTGGGAGGAGTTTGGAGAGGCCATGAAAAAAGACTTCAGTACGGCTTTGAGGCGATTCTGGTCCACCATCCAGTGTCTCGGGGGTGGAGGAAGCGGTTCACCACCAACACTGTTTATGGTGGGGATGGTGCGCTGCTGACCTCAACTCTGGACGTTGTGGGTCGGTGGGTAGAATACTCTGAAGACCTCCTCAATCCTACCGACAGGTCTTCCCAAGAGAAAGCAGAGCCTGAGGACCCTGGGTTGGACTCTCCAATCTCTGGTGCCAAGGTCACTGAGGTGGTTAAAAAAGCCCCTCGGTGGCAGGGCGCCAGGGGTGGATGAGATTCACCCGGAGTTCCTTAAGACTCTGGATGTTGTGGGATTGCGTTGGTTGAAGCAACTCTACAATATTGCGTGGGCATCGGGGGCAGTGCCCCTGGACTGGCAGACCAGGGTGGTGGTCCCCCTATTTAAAAAGGGGGACCGTAGAGTGTGTTCCAACTGTAGGGGGATCACACTTCTGAGCCTCCCTGGTAAGGTCTATTCAGGGGTCCTGGAGAGGAGGGTCCGTGGGATAGTTGAATCTTGGATTCAGGAAGAGCAGTGTGGTTTTGGTCCTGGTCACGGAACAGTGGACCAGGTCTACACCCTCAACAGGGTCCTGGAGGGTTCATGGGAGTTCAACCAGTCTACATGTGTTTTGTGGACTTGGAGAAGGCGTTCGACCGTGTCCTTCAGGGACTCCTGTGGGGGGTACTCCYGGAATATGGGGTACCAGGCTCGTTGATCCGGGCTGTTAGGTCCCTGTAGGACCGGTGCCAGAGCTTGGTCCTCATTGCCGGTAGAAAGTCGGACTTGTTTCCAGTGAGAGTTGGACTCCACCAAGGTTGTCCTTTGTCACAGATTCTGTTCATAACTTTTAAGGATCAGTGCCTCCAAATCCCAGACCATGGTCTTGAGCCGGAAAATGGTAGGATGTCTTCTCCGGGTCAGGGAGGAGGTCCTGCTCCAAGTGGAGGAGTTTAAGTATCTCAGGGTCTTGTTCATGAA